TTGGGCTGCTTCCGTGGTTTTCCTGTTAAGAAGAGTGCCATTAACGAGCGCTCTTGAACGTGCTTCCTTTCGCACACGTAAAAAGTTTCTCTTGGGTGTGTGAAATCAGGCGCCTGATCTCCCCCGGGCCCCTGAGCAGGGGACGTGGAGGGCAGCTGTCCTGCCAAGGTGGGGCCACCCGTGGCTGTCTGCCCTCTGTTCTTTTGAGAGTCTGCCTTGTGCCTGGATCGCCCGGCCCAGGCCTGGCAGAGAGGAGGGGGCCCGTGGAAGGGCTAGGAGAAGGGAGAGGAGAAATCGTTCTCCCTCCCTCCCCACCTTGCGTCTGTCCCGCTCTGAGCAGCCCCTCCCTTGCTGCCGACCCGTCGCCTTTGCGCCCTTGGGATCACGACTGTCAGTTCACAGTCACCAGTCTGGCTGCAGACCTCAAACTAGTGGAGAGAGGACACAGCTGTTGAGGGTTCTCGTACTTTGCCCCCGAGCCGAGCCGACTGCTTTGGAATTGTGTACGTAGCGTGGCTGTGATTTAATAAGCTTGGTTGCTTTCTTCCCTCAGGCAAAATTCAGTTAATCCTCAGGCTAACAGACGGCAGATTAGACACGACCAGATGACAGCTCCTGGGGGAGACAGGAGGGAGAGAGAGACCAGTAAGCTGGAATGAGCAGGAAGAGGGGGCAGAAATGCCCACGGGACCGGCCTGTCCGCAAGGGATGTCACCGCCCAGGGGACGGGGTGGGGGGCACGGGTGACCGCTGCTGGGCAGGTGCAACGGATCCCCAGGGTGACCCCTCCTCCTCCCCGCTCCGCCCCCGCCCCCGCCCTGTGTACTTGATGCATTTTAGAAAATGGCTTGTCCCCGAGAGGTATAACCAAGCCAGGGGACTTGAGAGAATAAGCATCCATCATCTGGAAGAATCTCTCATGTAAAGTTTAATTCCCTGAGACTGCAGGATAATTGAAACATTGATCTACTGATAACGTCAGCCACAACCTGTCTCTGATGACGTGAGGCCTTAAACGTTTTTATATGTGATATCACTGGATCCTCTGGGCCTGCCCGGATTCCCAGCTGAGGGATGTGGAAACAGGCCCAGAGAGGTTGAATGACTTTCCAAACACCACATCACATTAGGGGTAGAATCAAGATTGCTTCACAGCCTGCTGACCAGGGACCGCCCCCCCCCAAAAACCGCCTCCATCACTGGCCCTGGGGGCCCCCTTTCTCCCCACTTCATACAGACATTCAAGCAGGTATATATTTTTTTTAACGTCTGTTTATTTATTTGGGGGGCAGAGAGAGAGGGAGACAGAGAATCCCAAGCAGGCTCTGCACTGTCAGCGCAGAGCCCAATGCGGGGCC